GGGTGGGGCACAAATTACCTGACTTGTTTGCGAAGCTTCCGTTCATTTACCTCGGCAGTAGGTTTATGTCGAAAAACGCGGATAATAAAGGGTGGAAGGTGGTTGATCGAGACGGTTTGAGTACCGTCAGCGCTACTATTTTCGCCAACAATGGGGGAAGAGTTTTCCAGTGGACCCCACTCTTCGAGATTATGCGATCCGGCCAACATGGTGAAAAGGAAATCCGACAAGGCGTAGGGCACGTTGGCATCTGTGAAGGTAGAATATAGGGAAGTGGGTTATTGGAAGAAGCGTCATAATTGCACTCTCCTACTGCCAACTAGAATACACAAATAGGTGATTGGCTAACTGGAAACCAAAAAAAGAAAAGACAGACAAAAGAACACAACTTGATGGGTCTGAGATAGACAATCAACACCGCCCGTAACATATTTGAAGCATTTCTAGAACCAAATTTTGGTTAGATTTTCCGCATAATTTCCACTGAAGCGTCAAGACCTTACTATTATATTCGTTACCTGATATTCTACGAGACACTTATGAACCACAATCAAGTAAGCTGATCTGCACCAAGAATTGACGTTGTCGCCTCAATGAGTCAGGTTGACATGATTTCAGATTCTATCAAAATCATGAGGTGGCTAACACCACTTTTTACAATACTTCATACGCCTCTTCGTCACATCACGTTCTCCAACCGTATTTGCCTCTCCACATCGGCACCAGAAGGCAGAACCGTCGCACACATCAACCTATCAGACCACTCCATCGCCCTTTCGGCTGATATCCTCCCTCTTTTCAAAGTCTATTACTAATAAACGTGCCGGTTGCAACTATTCTCCCTCCCTCTCTCTCTCTCCCGCTCAATCTATCCTGTCCAAGATTTGACGAAGAAATAAGGCGTGGCCAACAGAATGTTATAGATCAAACGACCGTTGATTTATTCGACGAAATAAATTTATTTTTTTTATTTAAGTCATAATATGCGAAAGATGATTGGCTGCTTGCTTGGCCAATAGTAGAAGTAACCTTTTCTCCAAATGTATGAGCATGAGAATCCAATGATCGATAAACCGTTACATGAGATGGAAATTGCGAATTCCATATTAATTGTCGATTAGGCTTCCTAACAGTTCTTCTGCAAGTCAAATCTTTGGCGATTAAATGAAAAAGAATTAATGAAATAAGAATTTCGGAACATGGGCAATCCAATTTAGTAACTAACGTTGCTCTTAGCGTCTTTTTTCATTTAGACACTTTCAGTTGCTTCCGGCAATTAAAATTTTCCATTACTATGAGTAATAATAATGTAAAGAAATCGAAATTCAAAGCTACAAAACCAATATATGCTAAAATATGCATGCATTTGCACAACAAACAAACTCCAATCGAGATCTCAAAAATCGTAAGGAATAAGCGTTTTAAGGAAAAATTTTGGGTTCAACACTAAACTTTTCCAATTGGTATTACCTCCTCGATCTAGTAAATATTGCATATTTTATTTTTGTCGCCCCAACTAGACTTGCCAGAAATACACCAGAGGGATTAAAGTTACTTAAAGTTTACTCAATAATATATAATTGAACTCTCACCGAATCTATCTGGTCCATAAGCAAGTACTGAAGCTTCGTGACGAATAGTGTCGATAACCCAGGGGCAGACGGATTCCAAAGGTAGCCTGTAGAGTCTAGACATAAGTTGGCTTTCATGATCCATTAGACGCACTTCCCTGCTCTTCAAAATAAGTTGCGTTCTAGGTAGGACTAGAACTAGAAAACCCAATCGAAAAGCCAATTCCATGTCAATAGGCATCCAGCCATCAGTCATTTGCTTCTCCTGGGGTATTGACAATGCGGATAAATGCGGTAAGTAGTATAAGGAATTGAAGTCTTCAACAACTTTCTTGCGCATAACAACTCGAGAAAGATCGTGGTTTGTGAGGGAGGGTGGGCAAACTACACCATCGTAGAAGTAGAAACTGTAGAAACAGTCCATAAGGTAGTCCACACAGTAAATCCATTCATTTAGCTGCAAAAAATATGCCCTAATGAGGTTTTTTGAAGTATAAAGTAGAATATAACGAGAAAAAAACACTCACTATTGCTCCAAATTTATCAACACTCTTATTTTTTAGCATTGCTTCCGTTTCAGCACTTTTCTCACGAAAGAAATCGCGAGCTTTTCGACCAGCTTCTGTAGTTTGTGTACTTGAAGATGATCGACTATTGGTAGTGCTTGAAGGCATTTCTTTATCAGAGTCTTGCGTTGAGAAAGCGGTCTTGGCGGCCGTCAATAAGTGTGGAGATTGTTGTAACATTTGAAGAGCCAGATGTCGCACCCAGGACAATGCTACCTCCTTACTACCTCCATGAGTAACGAGGCTTTGACATCGAGCAAAATCAATCTAATATTAAAGAAGCATCATAAAATTCGTGTCGGAAAAAAATAAATTGGAACAACGTGCACATCAGTCATTTCAGAAACCCTTAAACCGATACTTGCCGGTGCGCATCCCGTGATGAGAATTAGAAACCACCACAAGGACTAAGTTGACAGTCCTAAAAGGTGGAATTACCCAAATATACTTCGGGTAGACACAGATGGGAGACAGTGATATAAGAAATATGCAACGTTGAGGACAGAAAATAATAGAGCATTGAATAGATTAGACTAGGATGGAATTTATCAAATCATGTTGATAGCCCCTGACTCAGGTAGAGTGGAAGCATTACGGAGATTATCTCCTGAGCAACTCGTATTCCGCAAAACACCTATATATAACTAGAATTAACTAGCATGATCAAAGAATATCCCCCAATAAGCATCTATTTTGATCTTTAACTTAGTAAATGTACTTTTATCATTGCATTACCGATACACACACACGTCTCTTATTGTTCCTTATGAAAGCCAATAAACGACACCAGCTCAGCACCGACATTTATTCCGTTCTCTTAAAATTTCAGCTTCTACTCTTCTCCAGTTCTCATATTTCAATATACTCAGTCAAACTCAATTCTTAGCGCTCCCACTTGAGAGAGGTCAATGTTTTATACAAGCCCCGGAGAAGCTTTATTGACTGCAATATAGATACCTGTGATTTAAAAGTGCAAATTTTGATGCCTGAATGACCAGACACAGTTAATATTGGGCATTATGGGGTGTGCGATAGACTTACCTCCACGTGGTGCACCATGAGCAACGTATACTCATACGGCGAAAAAGTCTATTAATCGGCAGTTGACTTCTCACTTCAAACTACCATCACCCCACTGTATGTCATAGACCACCACTTCCACAATACTCACCTTACCTTACCTTTTTCTCTGCCTTTGTGTCCGTCTGTCTCTTTTACATCTTTAAAACACTCTTCTGTCCCCCCTCTCGAATTTTTTCACTTTGATGTACCTTCACCTCTGTGAAGCCTGAAGTCAGCAAAAGGGCTAATGATAACTATCAAAACGCCTGCCATTTGATATAAATAAATATTGGGGATTATATGCCTTCCAATGATTAATATCTGGGGTGCGCAACAAAATTTACATCCACATGATGCAACCTAGGGAATGTATACTCATACTCAAGTCTATAAATTACCACGACCCCATTGTATGTCATATTTCACCACTTTCACAGTACTCACCTTACCTTACCTTTTACGCTACCTTTGTGTCTTTCTCTCTTACATCTTTGAATCTTCTGTCCCTCCCCCCGCTTCAACCTCTTGTGACTTTGATGTTCCTCTCCTCTCTGAAGCCCGAAGTCAACTAAAGGACTAATGATAACTATCATAAAACCTGTCATTTGATATAAATGATTTATAATTCTTCGTTGATAAAGGATGAAATAGCGCGCTAATTGTAAATAGCAGGTTACTATTTTCAATAGCTTGGCGAATTCATAAATAAGGTAATCGGGGAATTCGAAAGCAGACGAATGTGAACTGGCTTGGCTCCTGGGGACCAATATTTATGACTTTCATATAGTCACCTTTATATCAGTACTTGAACTGAATGAAGCACCCTCAAGTGACCCATCAATCTCAAACTGCTTCCAACAATTGAAATGCTCAAAACCGTGCATCAAAATTATGTTCTTGATACTAATCTACAACAGTAGCGTAGCATGTAACGTACTCACTCCCTACCCAGTTATTATATTATTAATCAACTGCCCTGATTAGGTCTAGAGAGGCAAAATTTGACCTTCTCACTGGTGTCCATTATACCAATATTCCGCGCAAGTTAAGCGCCGTTAAAATCAGTCCTTGAGCTTGATTACTCATAGAAGTCGCTATTTACACTCACCCCAAATTGACCACACATGGGGGGACAAAAGGAACCGAATTCTGGAGACTTCCCGAACGAATCCCTCCACATGGAATCATCATCCACCAAAGATTGTTCACTCACAAAAGCACCATCAAATTTTGGAATAGCTAGAAGATAAAATCAAAGTAAAATCAGTGAACTCACACAAAAGCACTTACCTTGACGGAATTGGTCCGGGGTTAAATGGAGAGTGGAAGGGAGATGATCATTTGCCCATGACAATCTAATAAATGAGGAGACTTTTTTACTTTCTCATCGTTAGCAGCACGAATGGGATGGAGATCAACACCGTAAAGAAGATAATGTTTGGCTTAGATTCTTGTTGAGTCATAACATGTGAATGATAGCTTCGTAATTAAACTTAGAGGAAGAAAATTTCGACTTTGGGGTGATAAGAAGGTACATCTAGTCCGCTTAATCTAGAATTTCCTTTAACATATCAGGGGACAAAGAAAAGTAGAGAAATCGTAGGGCGAATACAAATCTATCTGGACACCACAATATCCCGAGTCTTATGGCAAATAACTTCCTCAACACGACACGAACCCATTAGTTTGTACAATCTATTAAAACCTCGACTTTTTTTTACGAAATAACACAGGTAAATGGTCGGTTGGTCAGAGGAAATGTTTAAGCGATAGAAATTAAATCTAATAAAAACTTACAGGCAAGTTTTTATGGCTGGGTTAAAGCCAACGAGGTCCAATTGAATAGCATTAACTGGGGGGAAATGCTGAGAAGAAAGAATTTTATGCTGCCAACTTTTCAACATTTTGACAATTTCCACACGTGAGACACCAAGGCTAGGAACAAGGGTTTCAGCATCACTAACAAACTTAGGATGGAGACAAAAGAGTCGCCAAACATCAACAAGAGCTTCACAAAGCCATCTAGAAGTAAAGAAAACCCCACTTCTTTCAGCATCTTGAACGTGTTTTGAAGAAAATGGAATATTTCTCTCCGCACAGCTCCAGTGGCTCACCACCTGCAAAATAGTAAAATAAAAAAGGAGTAAAGAAACGACTGATAAGTGGAAAGCTTATGTTTCCACTCGTGACGTTGAACCCACGATGTAGCCAAGGTCCTTATTGCTACACCACCTAAAATTGGTATCCATTACCTGGAACTATTTGCTCTAGACATCACCTATTAACGACTACAACTATTAACTTATCATTACATATTAAGACCCTGAAATATAGTAGAAGAAAAAAAATACATACCGCCGGTGTTTTGAGAATGGATTCTACAAAGATCTGCAACAATTCAAAGGAGTTGGCATCGTGGTTGTGCATCATTTTGATAATGATACTCAGAAGTTCCCAAGCACCACGTGGACGGTATGATCGAGTAGATGAAAGGACGTCAAGAATGTCCACAAACGAAGAAGGTAAATCGAAAAACAATTCAACCTCGATCTTAGCGTTTAATTCACGAATATGGTATGCTAATTGGCTTTTCAGTCGGGCCTTCAAATTTGTGAAATCGGCACACCAATAAGGATTTTCACCTATGTAGCCTCCACCAGTTGGATCTGGAAATGAAGTAAAAGATATCTGAAAACAAAACATAGAAGCATACCTCTTCCTTCTTCATAAGAGCCGCAAGGAGGTGTCAATGGCGTAAGCATTTCATCAAGGATACTCTGTGTTGCGGGTAAGAATTTACGCGCACTTTCCTGGCAAATTAATTTATATGCTAGTGTTCTCAACTGCGACTCATTTAACTGACTCAAAGATTCCGAAATTGGTGGGCGGTAGATAAATTTTTCCGGATGCTCAATCCGGGTCAAACAAGTAGCGACCACATGGGGACACCAAACACTCTGATCTGACATTGATTTCTGTGCAGGAGAGAGATGTTTTTTTTGGCTGTCAGTTATTTTACGATCCTCTTCACTGGTACAGGTACAAGAAGTAAAAGTGATATGCTTACGATCGAAACACATCGTAACATGCCGAATTTTCGGATCCGTAGAGGAGTGGATGACATTCGCACTAATATAAAAGCCTAAAATGGTGCAATACTATTCATCATTTCAACAGATGGTAAACAGACCTATTTGCAAGCAATCACGCACTCCATTTTGCGTAAAAAGAGAACTGGCTTTGCGAAAACAATTCACACTGCCTGTACCCAAGGCGGAATACACTTTTATTTCCCTAGTAGTTGATGGAAAACTATAGTGGGCAATGGCCTTTTGTATATGTTCTGGAATTGGTTTTTCGGCAGCATAAATAGCTTCGAATGGTTGTTTTTCGGCAAATGTCTTGGAGCCAAGAATAACTAGAGAATCGAATTTATGAAAAAATTCCACACATGGTTCTTTCAAAGTAGCTAAATTACCAAGTTTAAAAATACATAATTAAAGACATACAATTGTTGACATGTTGGTCAGGAAAAATATTATCTACTACCGTATCGGATAAAAGAGATAGCTCCGCGACGTCTTGTTCATTATATGTATCACTCATTAATGTTGATCGAATCCGTAAATCACGACTTAGTCAATTGCAATCTATAAAAGCAAACCCAGAATAAACGATTCAAAAGCAAAGCGCTAAAATCAAGGCCAATTACAAAGCAGCCTTGAGATAAGTGTTTATGTCGTTCAATGAAAAATCACTTGGAAATTATTTAAATTCTAAAATTATTAATTTATTACAATTGTGTAATACAATATATTTAGCCAATATATCCAAGCCACACTTGTCCTTGATTGCTTAATGCAACCTAACCTTGATTTAACGTTGAATCATTTACCTAAAAATTTATTTTTGTCTGTTAGCTCTAAGTAAAGTCTTCATTAAATTCGTAATAAGATGTTTTTTTGAGTAATGAAGGTGGGTTACCAAATTTTAATACATTTGTGAAATAAATGTTGACAATTTGAAATGTTTTGCGTATTCACGATATCCATTTGTAAACATGTCAGTAAAATGCCTTGTAAACTCTTTAAATGGAATGAATTTCAGGAATTGGTATTTATTATAACCACTTACTAAAGTTAGTTACTTTCGTCGACTTATCTCAGTTATAACGTGGTTTATTTAAAATCCACAGCATTCTCAATGCCTGTATTTTTCATGCAAAATAAAGTATTTAAATTTCTAAAGGGAGGGGAGGATCGGCTGTAAGAAAGACTCTGAACTACTTAAAGGAATCTTGGACTACATTACGACTCTGCTCTTTTTGATTACCTTTGCGGTAGTATTATTACATCCGAAACGGTCTTGCTAATAGGAATGACATTAAAAATTGGAATGTTACATTTTTTATTTAGATTCAGACTTATGTCTCTGCTATATCGGTTATACAACAGAGAATGAACAGATAAATTTACAGCAACATAAAAATTTTCTTATATTTTCTTTCTTTTACAGTGATTTAGAATTGCCCTTATGATGAATATGAACTACCGGAAATGATCATACTAGAGTGATGACATGATATATTTAGGAAATATTAAGATAAATTGCGATTTCAATGTATACAAGTAATTTTTCACGTTGGTTTTGATGACTGCAAGTGTTAATTTTCCAATTATCAGTTTAAGGTGGGTTGCAAGGACAAAATAAATAAAAAGTCATTACTGACTCATTAATTTTGACTACAAGAGCTGTCAGCGCTTTAAATGCTGACCAATCGGAAAGGAGGTATCGTCGAGATATCGTTCTTACTTTCCATTAACAAGCTCATGTAAATAATTTCGTTTTTTGTTTTATATATATATAGACTAACCGAGTAACTTTAATACTCAACTGGCTTTCGAAGGTTTGGTAGCATCACTAATTTCACTAGGAACACCGACCGAAGGCTAATCGTCCAAGGAGAATTTAAGGGTACAATAATGGTAAACATGTATTGTTACCCTTTTAAGTGCTCCTCTAAATTAAGGCTGATATTTTGTGATTCGAACAATGAAATTCTTTGTAGAGTTAATAATTCAAATTTTCCGCAAAATTATTTTAAAATGTCTATCTGAAATCATTCTTGCCCTGTTTTCTATGAAATTTATTTCAGTTTATCTCACTCCTCATGTTCAAGATCCCATAAATTCAATCTCTTGAACTATTATGCAGTGTCTTTTCTTTGGACTCTTCAACCTCTGCAAGATTTCCTTGGGGATGGTTCTCAGTCTACACTTCATATATACCCTATCTTTAAACAAAAACACTATCCACCCATTGCCACTTCTAAGACTCTCAAAATCACATCTCTTCTAACAGGTTTACAGTCTCTGAATTGGCCTTTCTATTTTACTGGATTTCTAGTTCAAACCCACTATTCTTTCGGTTGTAAGATTGGAAGGCGAATAATAACTGCAGAAATCTACCGATATCTGCTCAAGAACTTAAAGCATGCACTACTTTTAGTAAACAAGCTACTTACTCTAACCTCAAAATATTTAAGAACTGATCTGTCTTCATATTATCATTTAAAACGAACGTAGTTTAGTCGTCATCCATTAATTAAATGTCCGAACTCCCAATCGTCGGGGAACTTAATTATGTCCTTATAAAACTAATCTGTAGGTTCAATATACTTGCTCAACGGAAGCAATCGAGGTCGAAAGACCAATCATGGAAATAAATAAACCCGTGATCGAGCTCTGAGTATTGGTGAGACGCAAGCTAGCTCATGATCCCTTGGGGTAATTAATGAAAATGAAATATAAGGGCAATGCCAGCCAAAATGTTCTCCTTATGAGAATTTTTTATACTCCTAACCTCCTCTTTCGTCTCATATTGCATTAGACTCAATTGTTTCTCGCTTTGTTCGGATACTCTAAAATTATTAAAATTAACTTCTACTGTCATGCTTTTCCTTTCAATTAATCTTACTACAAGATAAATCGTATTTTCATTTACTTAAAATAAATCCAATTATCATACATTAACAAGTCCGCATGTTCAATATTATTCATTTTACCTCACCTCCTATCTTCTTCTTGGTTATGCAGATCCAGAAACCCCCTATCATAAATAAGTTTCAATTTTACATGAAAATTAAGTTGATAAAATTGAATGACCTCGTAAGAGTGTGTTTAAGGAACTTTTCTGGGTACTCCAATTTTCACTAGTCCTGTTTAGGACTAATACTAAATCAGTAATGAGAGTCCATTTTTCTGGAATACAACTTTGATCTCTATCCTCTTGTTTAAATGTGGCCAAGAAGTTCGTGGTGTTACACTTGGGACCTTTAACTATCTGGCTTATAATGGAAACACTCGTGGCTTTGGACTCCCCAATGTCATTCTCGCTAAGACCGTACAAGAATGTGAACTTTCCACCTTTTACCCTCACTTTCTCTCTCGTTCGTGGTTTTAAGTCCTTACTCTCTATTATCCTTTCCTCTCAATTTTCCGATTAGTAGAAAGTAGCTTGGATAAAACCCCATGCTGTTAGACCTCCTATCTAAACTAAAGTCTGAATTGGTTTCTGATTTCGCCTGAAAACCACAAATAAAATTAAGAAAGCACCTGATGCAACTCAGTTAATCGAGGAATATGATCAGAGAATTACGGATTATAGCCGGATAAGGTCAAAAGGATGTAGAGATAGAAAAGAGTGAGAGAAAGGCAGTTTGTGAAAAGTATTTGAGATAGAAACTAGCAGAAAGAGTCACACATGTTGCAAAGATGATATGGCGGTTGAAGAAAATTTTGAAGTGGGAATAGGGTCATTAGTACAATTGCAGCTGGTTATTTTAGAAATAGGCTAAAAGTGGACGGAATAATACAGCACCAATGATGAATCCGATTGAGATTTAAGTGATGAATGCAAAGCTGTTAAGATTAATGTAAAGACCCGTTATATCATATGTATAATTTCTTTATAATTAAGCATACAAGTGGAAATAGAGTAGCCCATCTGCCTTTGCCTTCTTCGGGGCCAAAGCGAACGAATACGTACTAATGAAGCTGATAAAAAATGACAATTAGTAACATTATTCCGCCGAAAGCAGATGTGCATCCTTAACAATAACAGTCTGATCGCCAGTGCCAAGGGAAAACATAAAAATGGTCAAAATATAATACGAGATTCTATTCCACGCTCAAGGTCCTATTTAAATAATAACGTGAAAAGGAAAACGCAACAGATAATAGCACACACTACATACATGAAACAAATAAACAAATGAAGAGGGGACATATCAAGAGTTAGGAAATATACATTGAAACCGGGCGCTTGTACCATATTGTCCAACCAGAACAGAAACATTAAGGAATGTAAGTTTTATACGACAACGTAGTTAGGGTAGAGAGGGGGGATAGTTCAATGGCAGTTAATTCGCATAATAGAACTAATGGGCAATTCTGGGGGGATTATTCTTAAGTGAAAGAAGAAGAGAACGGAATCTAGATACGTCTTTAAATTGGGATGAGGATTTTGAGGAGAAAGTTGAATCGCCGGTGGAAGAAACAGTGAGATCACAAAGTTGACAAACTCGCTCCCAAATTGCGGAATCAGAAGGATTGACATTGGCAACTGATTGAGAGAGAAGCGTAGTCTTGTCACGTTGAGCTTGCAATTCTTCTTCGTGAGCCAAATTTTCCTGATGAGCCTTAACCAGATTTTTCTTGTACCATGCTTGCCAATCCACTAATTCCTATTAAGTCGAACAAAGTATAGAGCACACCAAGCAATCGAGTATTATATTATTAAACATTGATAACATACCTTTTCGGCATTTTCCTTCATTGCTTTTACCCTTTTTGCCTCATTTCCATCCTTCTTTTCGATATTGGTACTATACTCCTGTCGCCATCTTGTCACGGATTCTGGTTCAGTATCGATACTTTGAAACTGCTGAGAAGTTGATGTATTTGATTGCATTGTCTTTGCCGAATCAACACCAAATGGTGTGTATGAGATATCCTCTTCGACGTCTTTCAACTCATCCCTTCCTCTTGAAAGAAATGCCGAAGTAAAATCATCCATCGATATAGCAATGAAAACTGCGGGAAATGGGGATTCGATACGAGGTCAGAAAAAGAGACCCATTAGAACAAAAGCCTTTAGAGCCCATATAAAATGCTTTCGAACATTTGTTAAGATATTTTTTTAAAATGATTTAAATGTAAAATTTCGATTATTTAGACTTAAAACGCAACATAAAAAAAATGAAAAATAACACTCATGAAACTCATATTCATCTCCATAAAACTTACTATTTATATTTCACTAAAATCATCCTTTATTGAGTCACGTAGTTACTTTCTTCTTTTTGACCTATAATATTTAATCGATTCAGTATATATTCAATGAAAAATTCGTAAGCTATTATATTGTCTATTTAAAATTATTCTAATTTGGTTTTAATTTGTGATGAGTTATTAATTGTTTATTTTATCAATCTTCTAAACCATTAAAATCTATTGGCTTGTGATAGCCCTTCTAGTCATACTCTCGTATGGCTGAGCTAATACTCTCTCAGGCGTCGGCTTTGGGGTATGACATTTCTGAGGTAACTTTGATCTTAGTTTCATTAATTCTGTTCGTTGTTGAAACCTCATCTGCCTGTTGATATGGGTTCTAAATTTCCATCTTTAGGCTTTTGCTGATAAATGTTTCTTTTTAACATTATTTAGCGTATCGAATGTGTTGATTCAAAAGTTGACGATTTCGAATTGGTGAACAAATCAAATTTTGAACAGAAATATTCTGAACATGTGGACTTTTCTGCATTCCTTTTCGACCTTACTAAAGTTAACGACATGTTTGATTTGATTTTATCATATGTGGAATATCTTCGAAGCTGTACCTATCTTCCTGTTTCTATTTCTCTGCATAAGCAAGTGCCTTTTATCTAAGTTATTGACTATTCTAGGTCTGTTAAGGATATCTTAGTCGGCTTATCCAGTATTGTCTCCAGTTCGTCTGATTTTACAATATCCATACAGAAGCGTCAGCACATTCGAGAGCTTGTCCTTCGAACAGTAAGTAGTCTAATTGTGCCTAAATTCTTTTGTTCTTAGATTAAGAATTTTGAAAGTATTACGTCCAATAACCACGATTTTTGTCAACAGCTGGAGGATCTCTGTACAACACTTAGCTCCTAAACACTCTACCTGTACATACAATGAAAATAAGTGTATATTATTTCTAACTTTCAAATGTGTTTTAATATTTTTAGATAGACATAGATAGTGAAATGGGATGCTGGAAGGGTTCTTATTGATAAGATCTATGCGGAGGGCTGATTTTCCTACATCTTTTACCCCATGTCTTCTATGTCCTGAATTATAAATCCTTATTCACAACTACATTGTCACTAGATTAGCACCCTTCGTCGTTATCAATTCCTTTTAGTATGACTTATTTTGGGTGGTGTGACGTTTGGAATGGCCATTGATTATCAGGGTTTGGCACTGTGTGAAATCATCTGTTTCTGTTGTCTTAGATATTCTTTTGATGTCCCAATTAGCCTTTTTGTGTCGGAAAGGATGCGTTTATGTGTTTTTCTTACGAATTGTAGATGAATGCGTTGCTTGCCAATCACCTAAGTGATCTCTTCCGTTATTTGTAATTGGTTTGGCATATTTCTCTCTTACATAAGTTCTTCGTAGGCTCACTCCTGAGTGACATGGGCGACTTTTTTGTTGAAGTAATAGAGTGATGGTGCTTATACATCTAGGAGAATCTGCACTCATGAAATCTAATAACGAAGAGCCAGTTGTGGATTAGGCAATAAATCACTTGCTCTCGGAGGATCGCTCCTTTTCAGGAGTGGTGTCTGAACATACTTTATGAGTAGCGCTAAATCCTATTACAGGCCATCAAATAGTACCGAGGAATTGGAGGTAGACTTAGCTATTGATATCGACAGTTAATAAGGATTCACGCAGTTAGTTGGGTACTAAATTTATACTGAAACGCATTCGCAGACTGCTTGATATGGAAGCACGTCGTGGCTGTAGGCAGGTTTCTTATAAGTTTTTTTAGTCAGGATGCCCTAAGTGCATTTGCCATTTATGTACCTTAGAATACGGACTTGGTAGAAATCATCGGGTTAATAGGACAGGATGGTGTTGAGTTATCTAGAGGTTTCATTTGGGTTTGAATAGGATGGTATTGACTGACCCGGAGATATGTGATGCGTCTGTTCTCTGGATGCATTTTTCTCTAATTGCTTGAAAACAAAGGAAAGTGGGGAATTCAGAAATATTCGAGTTTGCTAAGCTTCCTAAGATTGTTAGCACTCAAAACTGTTAAAAATTGAATACATCTAGCAATTAGATCGATACGAGTACACTAACTAAAATACTCAAATGAGACTTGGAGTGATCAAGTCACTCGTGTGGTTCTTGGTTGTTTTCTGCTAGCTTTTCGTCAGGTGCACTCCAAGATCACATACCATCTCTTTACGTTACTATTCATCTCTGAACTATATATACCCTTTCTACAAAAATTCTATCCGCAAGTGAAGGACTTGTTCACAACTGTCTCCATCAGAACCTTTGTCTTCCCGCTTTGAAATCGCCTGCCAATAGATTGGTTTGCTGCTTTCACAATGAAGAAAGATGTGGCCTAGAGAATGGCTAGGAGTCCAAATATGGTATCAATCTGATCACCTCCTTCTATAGTATTCAAGAATCGCCCTTCAGTCCATCTCACTAATCAAGACCAGTCAGCGTGTTTACCCACCACATCATTGGCGGTGCAATTTTGATCCCTTACTAACCACACTTGTAAGTTGACAACTAACCTCCTAAACTTAACTCCAATTCTTTTCCAAATCCAAGCAAAATATATTAGTAGAAAACAGATGTAACTCTGTTTGAAGTAATTTGTTCTAATACGATAGGAATTTACAAGGGAATAAAACGGTTGGAGTAAAGAAAGAGATTGTTACTTATTTGCAGAATGGCGTGCAGCCAGAACAGATTCATTGGGAGCTGAAAGTGTCATTCTGGGGAAGATACGCATACACATTAGCTCTTGGAAGAGTAATTTACAAGCATAAGGCAGTCGAACCTTCGATATTCTCTGTTTTGCACTGCTTTTACAATACTGACACCAAGTCGGCGAGGAGGCGAACAAACCACATGCCTCACAAACTACTGCTTCGTAAGCATCACTCGACAGCATGAGTCGTTCAAGTAGTAGCTGTGAGGCACCATACGCGATTAAACAGTCCCTCTCCATTTCACCAACACGCAAACCACCTTCACGACTGCGGCCCTCTGTGGGCTGGCGGGTCAACGCTGTTACCGGTCCCCTGGAACGGGCGTGGACTTTATCTAGCACCATGTGTTTGAGACGCTGATAGTAGACCACACCAGTGTAGATATAGGCCTCCATTGGCTCACCAGTTGCACCAGAGATAAGTATCTCCTTGCCTGAACAATTATAGCCGTATTTGGGAAGGACTTCCTTTAGCGCTTCAACTGGATGCGGAGAAAAAGCACTGCCATCACGGATGTTTCCATCCAAAGAGGCAGCTTTTCCTGAGAGTAACTCCAGTAGTTTAGCAACCTATAGAAAAACGCATATAAATGCAATGGTTGCATAATAACTATTTCTCTAATAAAGAGTACATGGAACCACTCCTACTGTCAAAATCTCATTTTGTGACCAGCTTTCGACTCAATACCTTTCTACTTTTCCATTCTACGTTTGAGCCCCTTTGAACATACACGCAAATTCAGCTTATCTGTTAAACATAATCAAATTTAGTCCTCTTCAAATACGATTTTTCACGACAAATCTGGCTTCATTCTTAGAAGTTAGGAGAAAGACATACCAAGCATATTTTTTAGGATTCATAAACTAAAGCTTATTTTACGATTTCTGCCAAGCTTAGTTGCATAGTTGGTGGTGTTTAAGAATAAATCATACGGTGTCGTTTGACTGTCGTTCGCTCAAGGCGACAAGGAAACAAACGATGACAGATAGAACTCACTTCTTGGCCGATCCGAACTAGGCACGATTTGGCAATGCATCATTGAGTTCCATTCTACTTATAATTGTGACATTTCTCAATTTCATTAAAGTTATAGTTGGCAAAACTGGACTCAGGTAGAGAGGCTTCCTGAGCCAACTTTGATGAGAAAATTACGCACTATTACTCATCGTGTTAACCAGGAATAATCAGAATACTTGGTTATCCACATCACTGGATATGCAGAGATGAGCAACGACTTCTTGATCCCTAATCCCTCAGACGTGGATTTCGATTACTACCCCATGGAAGAATGTGCGTATATGTACATTATTCCAATTTAGACAGCAGGCTGTAACTCAATCGCCAAATTGATGGCACAATGATAGTAAACCGATTTCTTAAAAGCATTCCAACTCTTCCACTGACACGATTAATGCGATAATTTACATTTTAAGTGAGACTGGAACACACACACACACAACAAGCAATACTCGAGAACATAAGGAACTTCCCCACTTTTCAGATTCAAAATCCGCAAATGCCACACTTGCCTCCACGCTTAAACTGTGCAAAAAGCGATATCAGCACAATTAAAGAGACCTCAACATTGTAAACCATATGCATACCGCTCCGAACTCTTACCAATATTTGATACATAAAAAGAGGCTTTGTGTTGGGAGTAAACTAGATGCATTTTGACTCCTAAAAAGACATGTTCCGTTGGTGAAACTTGGCCTAAGCAAGGCACTTTCAGGGTGTCTGTACATGCATGTAATTCTGGTATGAACGTTTCCTGAAGGTTCAGGAGGGAGATATTTTTGCCCCACTCTATCAGTATTAAAAAAAAGGGAAAAATCGCATTCAACCTCAAGCCTTAGTGACTAACGATGAAGAGTTGAAAACGGATTTTCTGATTATTTTAACCTCCGTTAAGAATACTAGTCGCGGCTGACAAGCCCGTTTTTCAACTTACCGTCATACGACTGGGAAATCCGTGGGGATTCATGATAATATCCGGAGAAATGCCATTTTTATTAAAAGGCAAATCACTTTGAGGCACAATGAGACCGGCAACACCCTTCTGGCCATGTCTAGAGGAGAATTTGTCGCCAATTTCAGGAATTCGTGTTTGTCGTAAGAGAACTTTGACAGTAGTTTGACCACCATCGGAACTTGCAAAGAGAACTTTGTCAACGATGAACGGTTCTATTGATTTGTGGTCTTGGGGAGTGCGTTTGTATTCCACCTACATATTAAGAAGAGAGAGCATTAACCGGATAGAAGCAAATCGAATTACTTAAGTTATATAGGTAGATAAAAATTACAGCAGAAGGAGGTGTAGCTGCGGTGACACTGACAGAGCCTCCGTTTTCATTAATAGAACTTGACTTTACGACAGGCATCTGCTTATTGATTAGAACAAAATGACTTTCCGCCTTCGAACCTACAGCGGCTGTCCCGTCTGCTTCTAAAAGCTGGTCGTTTCTGCGTGGCTTGTTGGTGACTATTACGAGGAAAAGGAAAAAAACCGTTTGAAGTCAATAATAATTGAAATTAGATTAACACAGCATATTCAACTTGCCTGTGTCGATAATTGGACCCATAAGTCTATCATGAGCAACACCATCATGGGATTTGAGATGTACACCGACCCTTCTATACACAGACGCCCTCATAAATCCTCGATCAATCGATGCTTTATTTAGAATCAGTGCATCTTCTACGTCATAGCCAGTGAATGACATAATAGCAATAACGGCATTTTCCCCCGCAGGTAGTTCATGGAAGTGTAACATTTGACTGGTCTTCGTTTCAACCAAGGGTCTTTGAGGATAAACCATTTGCAACTGGAGAGTATCAAATCGAATCTGCTGATTGAGGCCTGTGACACCCATTGCCTGCTTGCCCATAGCGCATTGATAGGTATTTCGGGGTGATTGATTGTGATTGGGGTAGGGGATGAGACCTGCCAATGCACCAAGAATAGTTGATGGATCGATTTCCATGTGGGTTGTTCCTTCGACAATGGAATCCTCATCCAGAGCGACAAGACAATCATTGAGTTCATTTGAGTCGAGATATTCGATCAACCCACGCTTCAAAAAGTCATCCCAATTAAGCATCTTAGCCTGCAGGTCGTTAATCAACTCCTGCGTGACAAGAGGCCTTCCATCGTGAACAATGATGTATGGTCGGCATAGACGTCCACCATCACTAACAACGTGCACACAACGAAGAATGGGTTTACAGTGAACGGATACAAACTCATTGATATGACGAGTACGTCGAAGGCCACGAATTGCTGTGCAAAGTTCTTTCGGCGTCTTTGTGAACCCAACTGGTTTTCCATTGACGAAAACAATGTGCCTGAAATCAACAACAATATAAGTAGCCCCAATGCGAATTTCAAAATATTTTGCTTTTTTAGATGTATGTTTGCTTGGACTAAGAAATGAATCAACACTAAATTGAGTTATCCAATAGGCTGGCATCCAAGCAAACGAAACAACTTTAATATCACGGCAAAAGATAATGTTACACCCCTACTATAAGCATTGAGGTATAACACCTTGAAGGCGAACACGTATTAAACTGGTTTCTAGCATCAGCTAGAATGTAGGAACAATAACCCTGTTTAAATAAATCATAAGAGAGGCAAGCTCAAGTGCTCTATTTAGAAGAAGAGAGCTCTATGTTGTTTAATTCGCATGAAAATGAACAAACTCAAGTATAAGAAGATAGTAATCGCTTACTCATCGGGCTGGTGCTGAAAGTCTTTGAGTGGAAAGACATTGTACGTCATCAGAATGTGAATGAGATTTGTATCCTCGACTTCCACAGTGATGTGACACATGAGTGAAACATTTTTGACCAAGCCACAGGATTCACCTTCGGGGGTGTCCGAAGGACATATCAATCCCCATTGACTCGAGTGGATGGCTCGTGGACCAGCGATCTGGAGGGAGGAAGGGGAAGAAAATCAATATAAGTGAACTCAGCAGTCAGCATTAAGAGAGTTGCCAATTAAGAAACAAAATGTGACTATATTAATCTCTCGAACGTACCTATCGACTCGAATTTCTCCCCAACACCATGAAAGAGAATACAGGGAAGAGGTGGCCGGTAACTCCATGATAGTGCTCATTTAAAACCAATTTAATAGGCAGGGAAATCGCACAAACATAAAAGAGTTTTACTCAAAATGACTGCAATTAGAGACTGTTGCAACTACAATTCGACCTCACCCCAGACCCACAAACTAATCTTTCATTGTAACTGAGGAGGATTTCAATAACTGCTTTAATTCCGTTCATTAATTGGTCATTTGTTATACACTCAGAGGAGGGGGGGGGGGGGGGGGGGGGGGGGAGGTTGGGGGAATTTAAAGGTCAAACATTGAGTTTGGTGTAGTGGGAAAAAATTGGCCGACAACCACTTTTGACTTTTCCATGAAGCTTGCTTTTGTCATACCAATGGCCTATTACTGTATATTTATTTAGCACGTAAGTGCCACATCGTCCAGAAATTCCACGATGATATCTAAACCCAAACTAATACCTTATATAAAAAAATTGTGGAAGACATCATGGCACATCACCCTCAGAGGAGAAGGACAGCCGAAAGCCATGATAGTCTGGTAGATTTAGTCTACATGATTTGAGGAGCGTCCTTTTGACTGTTGTATACGTTTCTCAGAGTCCAAACAGACGCACGACGGCTCGCAGAAAAAATTGATATGGAGAATAGAAAAATGAAGAAGTCAACAAAAGACTAATCATCATGGCACTTAATGAAAAAGAGGATTTTGGTCTTAGGGCAAAATGGCCGTTTCCATTCATTTTTTCGCAACCACCCTTCAAAGAACTTATATCCACTCAATGTCCCTTTATAAAAATCCATATAGACCACGATTCCATCACATCTCTTTACGATGAATGGGAACGCCTGCTCAACCACTCTAGCCAAGCCAATTCATTAACCGTAGAGCTGATCCACAATTTAGACTCGTATACACGTAGTACCACGTTTTTCGAAATGCATTCGAAGGTGTGGTAGTAATCGTAATGGTCACGTACTAACAAAATGATGGTAGAGAAGAGGTTTCTGGGTGCCTTCAGAACATCAAGTATCGGCAATGTCACCCAAGAAGAGAACAAATGAAAATTCAAATAAAAACAAGGACATGTGTTGGCGTGGAACACCTAAAGTACTGAATTATTTGTCAAAGATTGTCAGAATGCTGACAAATGTTGATACCGTGACCTGAGTATGACTAATTTCCAGGCTACACATAGCCAAATAATTACACAAGACATTATATGCCCCGATGAAGTAAACACGAATTGAAAATATTTTCAATTAGAAGTACAGTTTGAAAGTTAGAGATGCTTTTAAAAACATCCTGTTATATACAGAGCTGCATGAAAGAACGACTGTCCATATCGACTAAAAGCAAACTAACGAAATCGAAGAAAGGGGTACTTTTGCTAACACTATAAAACGGTAACTCTGACAAACTCGACTTAAGACAGAAAAATTTGAATATGATCAACTAAGTGTACTCTATATATCCAAGCAGTTCTAAATGCCACATTATAATATGATGGCAAATATCAGAGGTGAGTTATTTTTGAAATTCTTGGAAGCAGTGCCCAATATGTTACAGTCACGTGATATGATGATGCCAGTACGTGATACACGCCATAGAAACAAGAGGAGCAGCAAGCCACTACGATAGTGAACGTGGACGCATTGAGGAGTATGGGCCATTGGATAATGGCTATAATAAACTAAAGCTTATATGCTGTTCGTGTCAGCGATATTCCGAAAATAAATGATGTGGTTGGTCACGGTATCTCGGTTAATTGGTTTCTTGAAGTGCAAGGCAAAGTAGAAATGCTTAAAAATAGTAAAGCTCATAAGTACACTTATATTAACCTAATTGGGTGCCAAGAATGACCCCAAATTCAGAACCTTTCAATTTGTGAAAAACGAATTAGTGCCTACTTCCACTTTAATTCTCATTAACATTAAATTAGTGAAAGATTAATTAAGGAGAAATATAATAAATTTTTCTTACATCTTTAGATAAAAGGAATTTGCTTAGCCTTTATTACACGATCGCAGGTTGGCAATTAAGTTAAGTGCAGCTCTTTTCCACGCTTTTTAATGCTTATGATAAAAATAAACAAATAATTTAAACTCTAAAAGTTACTTCAAGAGCTCAATGCAAAAATAAAAAGAATTTGTCCTAACACAATCGGAAACACGATATTTCAAAGTATAAATTTGCAAAATAAACATTTGAAATTCAGCAAGTCAAGAACTCAATAATTCTGAAAATTGAAAGCCTTAAAAATTCAATGCATAGTGACTCTTAAAATCAAAATAGCAATATTTTAAATGGAATATCAATAAAATCATTGGCCAGTGTAAATTTTTTGGAAGTTATTGAGCAGTACACAAAAAAGTTAGATAACATTTACCAAAAAATTAAATAGATGTACATACCTTTCTTGTCTTCTCAAATAAACTTGTCACACGTGTCATATGACCAATAGCAGAAACATAGGATAGCCGACTGACAAGCTGAGTAATTCCTTGCCTTTGCATACGGAAACGCTTGATAATCCAATTACCCGAGGATATTGCTCGATTAAGCTGGTCAGTAATCAGCCATGTTTTAATATGTCTAGAGATGTCAAACGGACCCACTCGTCGCTTAACATCCAACTTGGAGACAGTCATCCACAGGTCTTCATTGAAGGTTTTGAATGCATCCTCAAATAGCAAACCAACAAGGGATCCAGCTAGATCAATTCTTTTGTTACCATAGAAGTCACGATCATCTGGCTACGTAATGAATAAAGAAATGGTTTTACAAATAGATATTCAAAAAGAAGAGTTAAAAAATAAATTAAATTTACTGGAATCTGGCCGTCTTCAAGGAGGATCAGATAACGAATCATTTGACCGATAAAAAGGAATCGATTTTGGAAATTCATTTTCTCCATGGGAACGTGTGTCACGATGATATCCCGCAGCATCCGTTGAATATCGGCCTGGATATCACGGTCGGTGATATCTGATGTCGCCTTGCCTCCCAAATTTGTAATTTTAGCACTGCGGAATCTCGGCGTTTTCAGCTTGGATTGAAGCCACCTGCAAGCTTCCAATGTGGTGAATACCTTAGCTTCCTTACATTGCTTTAAGGAAGGTACGACTTTAGTCCAAATGGCTTCTTCACAATCCACTGAGAGAAGAATTTCATGATCGGAAGTTAAGCCCATGGCTTTAAGCACAATGACGATTGGAACATCCACGGTGAAGGAGTTATGTTGGAGATAAAATCGACCGTCTTTTAAAAGGATATTTGTTTTCGACTTCGTCTGAGCTGAGGAGGAAGTCACTGAGCAGACCATTCCTTTTTTGGTATCTCCTTCCACAATGATTCGATTCTTTGACATCTGCTCTTGCATTAGAATAACTTTCTCAATTCCATTGATGATGAAGTAGCCACCGGGATCGTAATAATCTTCTTTCATTTTCGTTAAATCGGACTTGCTCTTACCTTTGAATAAAAGTGAGTGACATTAAAGTCGGAATAAGAGGAACAAAAGATTAAGCGCACACAAAAAAACTAAACATACCGTGTAAAGCACAAGCGGAACATTTTAACATTAGCGGCATTTTTCCAATAAAAACTCCCTTCCTCGTGACAATTTCATTCTGACGAGTGAAAGTGATATCCACTAGGATTTCACCAGCATAGGTAAGATCACGTAGTCGACAATCATGAGGAGTGACGCGGCTTCCGACGACGCTTCCATCATATACCGTAGGTGGTTTAATGTAAACGTCATTATATTCGAGCCACCAATTTGCAGAAGGAAAACTAACGCGCTTATTTGCTTCGACGATTTTTTTAATTTCCGTTTCAATGAAGTGGTTAAAAGAATCGATATGCAATTGCATAAGTCCTTTGGAAGAATGAAACGCTGTGACTAATTTATGTTTATTCCGCAGCTTTTCTGCACAAAGGTTTTCTTTAGAATTTTTGGCAATATTGATTTCGTTATAAGTCATTTATAACGTTCAAGTAATCAGATTGGAAGAAACCGTGTGGCAGACAGTGTGACCCGTTCGTAAAATGCGCAACACCTTGCCTAAGATTTTCAAGGTTTTAGCCCGTCAATAGTAGAAAACAACAATAAAAAATTTAATCGTACCTATTTAACTTTAAGATATAACATAAAATATACTCAACAACAGCATTTAATAGTTTAATTGATTATTGTTTTTCAAATAGTTATTCTCACTTTTGTTTGATGTAACACAATTGAAAAGCTAAATTATATATATATATATATATATACTTTTTGTATTCTTATTTAGACCCTGTTTGCTTAATACTTTAAACATTATGAGTTTAAAAAATATTTTAACCTAAAATATTTCTCCTAAAATACATTCGCTAAAATTCGCTCATATCTAGTTATCAATTTATCTATGCTTTGTTCGATTTGTTAGTTATTGGATTGGCAAGCATGGTACGAGAAAAATCAATAATCAATAAAATTTGGCTCATTTTGAGAAAGAGCAGGTTTAATGTGCATGCTATTTCAATTAGTTCTGCTAACTGATTTTTATCCCTCTTACTTTCGTGCGTAATCATGTGAAATGAAAGCAGGCTTCCTCCCCGTAAATATCTAACATATGTAAATAATGTGGCGAGCAATGGTACAAGATATAAATGTTTCAGATTAAAATAGATTCTAATTACGATTATGTTGAATTATTTTGATCTTCCAAAAATACCCACAAATCGCCTGATTTGATAACTTTTTCTGTTTATTCCAAAATTATGTCTTCCATGGACTGATAATTTTAGTAGATTTTAGCAATTGTATAAATCTAAAAAAGGGACTACTGTTGAGATCCATTGTACGTAAAATTCTTAACTTTATTTCTCTGGTCAAAACTATGATATTCTTTACCATTCATCTTCTCCCGAATCTTTCTAGCACAAGGCTTTTAAAAGGAACTATTTTGCATACTTAATAAAAATCAGAATCTAATGTTAATGCTGGCAATAAGGCAAATGATGAGGATCTTTCCAAGAAGATGCTTTAAATGCGTTATTCAGTTGCATAATCCAAAAAAGAAAATGTTTCTGGTCAAAATATATACGTTATGGGCCAAATGAAAAGCATGGTAGATGCGGTTTTCTGGGCGGCTCCATATTTAGCACTCACCTAAAAATGTGATGGATTTACTAACGGCATGAATTAAATGATCAAATTCGTCTTAAATGCCCTATTTCCCATCCCTTCCGGAAGAATTTATCAAACATAAAGTGTGGGTTTGAGCGAATATGAAATCAACTGAAGCTCTTCTAGATAACCAGAAGGTACCAAGAAGAAGGTCTACCAATTATTTCATGTAGCTGAAATTTGTTAAGAAGTAGAGTAGCGTAGTCGAGGGGAAAAATAGGATATTAAGAGAGGCTTTCCCTATTTCAGAATAAGCATCAAAGTTATATTTTTCTCCAGTTTAAACAAAATCAGTAGTACAGAGGCAAAAATGATGACAAATTCGGATATATTGATAACAGAGGATTAATACAATAAATACAGTCACATTTTTGAATGAAGAAAAAAAATATGTGAATTACCTCATAATTATGCTTATAATTCGTCAAAATTGCTGTTTCTTATTAAGTCTCTTAATTTATTCTGTTTTATTAACCAAACTTGCTAAACCTTACGTATAATAAGCAGATAAATTTAATTTACCATTTACAACTGAATTGAGACTTCACTTAAACTTACCCAAATTCGAAAAATAGTCACTAAAAGAAAAAATTTAATTGACTCATACGGGTTGTGATTTTGGTCGACAAAATTATCAAAATTACAAGTGGACATATTTCAAAGGATTTTTTAGGCAATCAATTAGATAGCGCTTTATAAATTGATGAAAATATATATTAAACAATTGATTAACATGTGTTTGATGAAAATAAACTTGCACTAGTGCTGAAAATGTCGAATAATCATCAAGATTGGCTGCGCTTATGCAAGTGAGTGGAAAGTTACAGTACTCAATGCTTAACAGCATAAAATTGATGTATTGGGAAAAAGCAAGCATTTCACAGTCTAGTGTAAATCAAATAAATTGGCAGATTTGAAGTGAGAATGAAAGTTGAGTAAACATTATTCAAAGTTTTATGAATAACTAACTCAGCTCAGCAATGCTTAAATTTCTGTTTTGGAAGTAAATTTAATAGAAGACCGGTGCAAATTTAAAAGTTACTGTTTTAGCATTAAATAGGACTTTTAAGCCGCTGAAGTTTTGTTTTAAAAGATGTCTTTTTGAAGCGCGCACCGTGAGAACCAAGACATGAGGGGGGAGACCGATGGCTATTACTACCATGAATAAAGCTTTATTTTATATTCAACTTCAGTTATAACTAAGCTTGAAGGTTGAAGAATAAAATAGGGGTAACCATTCCACAGAAATTGATTCATTACGCTTTTATTTTGGTAGTTTTTAATTAAGGAATAATCATGCAACAAATATCATTTGAAAGTAAAAATAGAGTAAACATCCAGTTAACGAAAGATCATCTTGTAACTAAAAGGACATTTTAGAGTTTTATATAAATTTCCTAATTCTTTAATTGTTAAATGCATTAAATCCAGTATAGTAATAAAAGGCTGTTGGGAAAAATAAATAAATGTTTTTTTGGAAAATTAGCATTTTGTTATATTAATACGCATGAGAACAATGATGGGCGTGGCAGTAATGTAGAAAATGTCTCAGTGATTACGATACTTTTCACACTACTAATGTTGGACGAAGTCAATGCAAACTGAGAGAATTTAGTAGAGAGACTTTTGTCCTCTTTAGGATTCGAATGGTCGTTGGGGCATCTCGAATAGGCAGGTGATGTTTGCCATATCAGTCTAAAAATTTTGTCATTTTAATAGCTTAAAATTATCTAAAGGGAAGGCGAAACAATGCTTTACCGCGCACAGGAAACGGACTATCATTTTCATTTGATTGACACACTAAATTTCACCTCATCAATATGGTAGGCCACGACATGATAAAATCCACTTCTCTGATTGGTGCTATATTTAATCAAAGATATTCTGCCCGTTAAAAGTATGAGAATCAAGCACAATATTAACAAAATGTTTCGGAAATTTAACCTTGGAAAAGTAGGTGCACACGAAATGATGGTTATGGCAACCTTAAATATACTTTTAAGGAGGCGTTGTGTAAGAATGAAGAAACAGCGCAAAGAATTTCATTCTTCGCATTAGGTCCGCGGAAATGAAACATAAAAAATGTATAATCCAGGTACCATAGACACGTTGCAAACAGAAATTAGATGAGAGGCAACTTGTGGAAACACAACTTTAGCAAGCGTGACTGGAGACGTTCTCGATCGATCAACGACCAAATCAGTAGGTAGTTTTCCAACTTATCACCATGCCAGAAAGGGTATATTAGGATTAAGTTCCACATCATCTAGATACATCACCCTAGCACGCCAGTACGTCTCTTTAGCTTTGTGGTAGCTTAACTAGTTTTGGTAATCGTTCCTAATGTAGGAGAATCTGCCATAGATATTTCTGAGTATAGTTAAGCCTTATTATTATAGAAATACGATGTGTACTGGTGGATCAGTCACCGTAAGACCAAAGATTTTACCTACAATGAAAAAGTGAAATCATGAATGAATATTTTGGAGGGCGACCTAATTTTAAAAATCATTGATCTGATAATTCTGAAGTTCAGTCGAAGTGGAGTTCGATTGATTTCCTAATTTCCACTTCGAATGCCTCTGACGAAGTTGAACATCACACGTTCCACATGTTAGCCATTGCTTCAAAGATTTTCGAGGGTCTTGATGTATGGAAATACATAATTAAAGATGTTATTTGAATAGCTGTTCTAAGGAAAAAATGTAAAGTTACTACTGCATCATTAGTTCAAGACATTTTGGAAAGCCATATCTCGAATGATGAGGTGACAATAGTGGACCTCACAAAGTTTTCATTGGTTGCATTTGCAACTCCACATATAATGCCTTACGATATCAACCTATTCCATAATTTTGAATAATAAAGTGTCTTATATGAGTAAATGACGCTATATTAACTGCAAAGTGGCATGTATTTTCGGTTTCACCGACAAATAAATTCTTGGGAGGTTTTCCCTATATCAATTGTATCACACGTTGATATAATTTATTGTGTTTAATCCCAAACAGTATTGTTGCTAATCATTCATTAATATGCGAAGATTGTGCGATTATGTCTCAAGATTTTAAACCAATCTGATTAAAATTTGGTGTTACTGCATTAGGCAAATAAGCTGTTAACATCTTCAATTTTAACTTAATGCCCTATGCCAAATCAGTTGCATTAACACTGTAGTGCAGATTTAAGTGAACATATTCCTACTTGACAGTCAGATATTGCAGGCCAGTTATCATATTTTGGAGTTATATCAGGAAAAGTAGGAGAAATAAACTCCTTTGTCCTTTTAACTAAGTCTTCCAACCTGCAACGGTTTACTACACTTATAAGGCTCGGCTTGTGCACAGTAATCTCAATAGCAAGAACCCCCTACCCCGGGGAGCTTCCTATGACTAGCCTAGCTACCACAAAGATTTGGAGGAAACAGACGTACGGTGTGCATACGTTTGTCTGGAAAACGCATTATGACTGACAGGGAGCTTACGCATTATATATAATGAAGGATTTGTTAACCCCCCCCCCCCCCCCCCCCCCCCCCCACCCCCCAACCCTAGAGTTTATTGACTGGCGTTTGGCTGGGAGGTCTCTGGGCGCACGACGCACCAGCTACATACGCGAGAAGGAAAACACGACCGCACCTACGAGTCTGTCTGTGCGCGCATAGGATTTCTTTGTTCAGCCTTGACAGTAGCCCTCACTCCACAAATCCACAGGCAAGAGGTAAGGGCGTTTGTTTTTAAGTGCCTGTGAAGACAAGACGGCCAGATGTGGCATGGAGAAACTGGAGCATGCCTCAAATTCTCTCAAGATAAG